CCTAAGGCTGACGCTTCACTGAATGAAGAGTAATGAAATACATTTTGCGTCCCTTGAGGTGAAGATAAGCTTTACGTTACATCCAATCAACCGACGTTTGAGGTACAGTATGTGATGCCAAAGTGTGACCATGTGCTATTAAATACCGACTACAGTACTATACCGGCGGACGAAGCTGCGGACGGATACAAGGATGAATTGGTGATGCGCGTAAACGTGCTGAGTGCGTACGTGGCGCCGTTCGTGAGTAGCGCATTTGCACTGCACCCAGCACTGCCATCGATCATATCAGATGACAATAAGGAGCTTCCGGATCTCATCGTAACAAAGCCGTTTGTCAACAAAAGTGGTTTAGCCATTTATAAGGTTCTATTCAGTGTTTTTTGTTGCTGGACTGAAACAATATCCTGGCTGGAAAGACGGTGGTCAGCTCTTGCTGCGCTCGAAAGGACTCTCAGGCAAGGCGCAGCTAAAGATCAACTTGTTTAAGTACATTATGAATCTCCCGGAGTGTTTGCTGAGCAAGGTTCTGCGGTACACCATTATGGTGGTCACATGGGAAGCCTACAGCAAGAGCATGGTTCAAACTGGCATTCGCTTCCTTCAGATTTTCAAGTCGTGCTTGTGGAAAGTGAGCCGACGCTTAATAACGAATACCGTACCTGGATTATGATGTCCAGTGCTGACAACAGGGGTGATGCGGTCAACCTGAATAAATACTTAAAATGCCCCCAGTGTTGTCAACGAGTAAACGGACCCCGCGAGTGAGCTGTCTAGGAGTACATTCAGTGGCCATGTCTGCTAAGAGATCGCAAAATCCATACTTCCTTATAGTGGGTGGTCTGAAGGTTTATGGGTATCCGCATTACCTCGTTCTTTGTGGTCTGGGGCAGATGCGAACAATAACAACTTGTACATCACAAACACGCCCGAAGAGCAAAGACGCCCTGGCTTCGTTGAGAGCGTATACTGTTACTGGACGACATTGAAGGCATTATGGTGGATAAAGGCATCGCTTGTGCTGCCGGTAAGAAGGCCAAGATCCTTGCAGACATTGATGAAATCACGTTTTATGTTTAAAGGGCGTGTTCTCCGTTTTCCAGCCACCACAAAACTGCTTCGATAATTGCGGCGTGGACTTCACGGTCGACGATGCTTTTAACGTGAGTCGCTTAGCGTTCTACCCCGGTCCGAATTTTAAGAAAACAGAAGATTGTCTGCACTTTATTCGCTGCGATCAAAATGGTAGACGCTCTAAGTTTTATTACGAACGCGTTCTTCTTCGAGGACAACGAATCGTCGGTCAAAGACGTTCAGTTTGGAGCGTTCGCCAAGATGACTATTTCCAAGGGCTCATCTATGAAATTCGTTGGTTAAATATGTGAGCAGCATACCGTTGAATAGAGTAGAGATCACTTGTACTTCAACATACCCTGTTTTGTTGCTCTCAAAAGTATTTGTTTTCGTGGCAGACGACAGGAATCCGATCCTTTTCGCAGCGGAAGAAACCAAATTGGTGCCAGAGGTCACAGCAAAGAAAAGTGTGACGGGTCACACAGCACCTTGCGCTGGAGGAAGTTGGCTTCCGAGAGTATACAAACTCTCAGTGAACGGCAGCTCACAGGTCCCCTTTTACCGAAAGGGAGCGAAGTGACCAATTTAAGATAGATTGTAAACTGAGTATATTTATAGGTAGGTTAAACTTGAGGTAAATACAAACTATAAGTCACCTATAGAAAAGCAATGTTATCAGCCAATGGTTGGCTTTGGACGACCTTGGTACCTTGTCCGAAGTATGACGTGTCACACTTCATGTAACTAAGGGTACACTTAGGGCTACGTACCCCGTTACATCCTCCCCCACTTAGGTTCGGATTACCGACCAATCAGAATGAAGAAGTGTACATCACAAACTTTCATTCTCAAAGTCGAAATACATCGACTTGGCCGCGCGAGCGCGGCGGAGGCTCACTTCACAGCTAGAGCCTCGAGCAGCAGTTTGAGCGCTATTATTCTCGGTCTCCACATCGACCGTTACCATGCCCCATGATACTGCCAAAAGCGGTGCGAAGCCACGCTCCAGGGCTGCTACCAGAAAGACGCAAGCCTAGAGCACTAAGCCTCACGACAAAGGCTCGGCACTCCAGGAGGCTACAAAGGTGGCCTCCGAGGCGATCGTCAACTGGTGACGTCGCGCCTGTGGGCTAGCGTACGAGCAAGCGCCGCAGTCTGTCACCCTCGGCCTCCCCAGACATCCGTCCGAACCCTCGGTTCGCTGAACGTGGGTTCGTGTCAGGCAGTGAGGACGAAGCCGATTCCGGGAGCACGCACGATGCTCCTGTGAGCGCTACGGGAGGGTACAGCCCAGTGCACAGCGAGCACAAAGACGACAGCGTGCAGTCGCTCGCTAGTGATCACGGTGATCACAAAGTCCCAGGACGTCGGTGTGCTCTGAGAGCCCGACCGTCAAGGCAAAGGGCACTCCCAAAGCTGGCGACGACGAGGAGGAGAAACCTTGCACGTGAACTTCACAGCGGTCCGTACTTTCAGGCATCGGCAGCGCCTCTTTCTCCTTTCGAGCAGGTAGTTGCTACACGAGGCTGCAATGAAAAGGTTTATCGATTAAACAGTCAGTAAATAATTGTGTAGACGCGCAACCAGCCTTCCGATGCAATGGAGTAACAAATCGGCGTTGGTATGGAGCCAACCGATCTTGTCAAGTCCATCTTAATGTACCTGTCAGTCGTGAGGCCCTTGTTCAGGTAGAGAGCCGTTTTCTGTGCTTCCGAATGGGTTAGAGCTTCCTGCTTGCCCTAATTTGTGCTTGCAGCTTTAATAATCTGTGCTGTGGTTTTCCAAGTAAATTCTGCCTTCTATCGGCTGCGTCATTTTTCCATTCCCCGCCAGAAGTACTTTAAAATGTAGAGCCGCCCTGTGTGCTATCTGCTCTTCTAGGGGGAACTGATTCATGGGCAGACCTCACCAATCACTGCTTGAGCCTAAGTGATGTCGCCCATGTGCCGCACGACCGCTGTCCCTGCCAAGCGCACTGCACAGGTGCAAGCTTCCCGGCCTTTCGGGCTGGAATCCAAGCGAACAGTCTTGTAGGGCAAGAGCTGCCGTTATTTTTCCTAGCACAATTGCTCTCTCGCTAGAACACCTCTGGCTGGTGTTCTGAAAAACTGCATTCGGGAACACGAACGAGCAAAACATATGCAGGAGCGCCGTAATTCTATGCCAATCAAATTGCTTAAATTATTCGTCACAGAACACGTTCGCCACTTGAACCAGGGCCTAAAGAGTGCTAGCCTCGCTGATCGCCGCAAAGCTCCGAGACTCGCTGATCATCGAAAATCTCTAAGCCTTGTATTCTGCCCTGACATCCGCGTCACGAGAAGAAAGAGGCGATCTCTATCGCTCGCACGCAGCATCTGTCGGTCTCGCCGACTAGCGTGCCTTGGCACCCGCCACATGAGAAGAAAGAAGCGATTAATATCGCTCGCACGCAACACCTGTCGGTCTTTTCTCATTAGCGCGAGCTTGTCGTGTGAAAAAATTGAGACACAATACTTAGAGATACAGGGGAGGCAATAGTTCGGTTTCTTTGCTGATCTGTATTCACTTACGATTGGCTGAACTAGGATCTAGTTCGCAGAATTGCAGAGTACTAAATTGCGGTAGGGCTGAAGAAAACATCTTAGTTTCGGTAACAGCTGGGATGTCCATTCACCTTTCTTTTGCAAAATGCTACAGCTTGTACCATTTTCGTTAGGAACAGGGTTAATAACTGTTAAGGGGCACGATAATCACAGAACTCGCAAACTTACCGAGCTCCCTTAGTTATAACGTACTATTTGTTATGACACTCAGCTGGGTTTTAGCCAATCAGGGGCCGAACGGGAAAGATCTCCGTGCGTCCTTATAATAGTTCGAACTGTCTTTCTGTCTGTGCATTTTGCCATCGGATGGCTCCTACGCAATGGTATTCACAGATCGCCCTTATTGGACCCCATATGGTTTTTGCGTTTGGACAGTAGTGCAGAACCAGCCCCATTATTACATGTTTTAGTGTTCAAAATAGGATATCAAAACAGTATAAAGTACTACTGCAAGCTCCGCAGCATACCATGGCTTCATTCATTATTTGCTGCCCCCCTCCCAGTGCGGCATCGTCTCACACAGTACATAATGAACCGCAAGAATACACTGCTACTGCTCCTGAAACGCACGCACATTTTTACTTTGTGCTGGGAATGGCTGATTTTATGATGTGGCTAAGACAGCCAATTCAAAAATAGTACCGCAGATGCTTCTTCCGCATTCATTTCAAACGCCAGTGTACCAAGAAAGGTTAAGTAGTATCGATAGTAAACAACTTATGTGGATTAATAAGATTCACGTGTACAAGTTGAATCGAGGGTCAATTCGGTTTAACTCGCGCGAGTTAAGTTGAGTCGAGGGTCAACTCACATTTACGCTTATGTGAGTATCGGTGAAAGATATCAGCAAAATCATGGTGATACCGTACAGTACCTCATTTTCGGCTCTGTCCCGCCTGTGCCTGCATTTCGATATCTATCCAGTTGATCTAACTAATGATTTGCAGCTTCATAAATATAATAGCTTGAGTTCAATAAGGGCGATCTGTGAATAATATTGAGCGTTCTGTGATAAGCGTCTCCATGTACAGTACTGCAACGAGCAATACACGTTGTCGTTATTGTACTGGCGAGATGAAATGCAACACCAAACATTGCCCCTTCACAACTTCTCACCCAATTACCCAATTTATATGAGCTTTTTTTGTTGGAAAGATAACGATTTCTTCTCTTAAGTAGTCATAATCATTTAATATCTGCTCAAATGCACGGATATTTACCTCCAGACTCCACAACGAAGCAGCTCAGACTCCACAACGAAGCAGCTCAGACTCCACAACGAACGCACACTCTACCATTGGTTCTCCGACGTGTTGCTTGCCATTTACAAAAAGACCGACCACCGTACACATGACCTTGTCGTCGCGTTCCAGCATGCATCGTTGCAGCTGCAGCAGCCCTTTTCGGAACAGAAGTCCTGCCGCCGCCCATGACGGACCTGCAGGACGTGAAGGTCAATGGAGAGGACTTGTTGCCCGATAGCGGCCGCAACTGGAGCCCGGACGTGCTGCTGGAGCGTGTGAAGATATGACGCTGTGTCCTGGCGCATCCGGACTGGAGTCGCGTGCAGTGGGGCGAGTCGACCTAGTCTAATGTGTTGGGAGTGCTATGAGCTGGGAATATGGGGTGTGCTGCTCCTGCGCTTCGCCATCAAGGCGACGATTCTTCGTGGGTCCACCGCATCAGTCAAGACAGAGTACGTAGTACTGATTGCATGAAATTCTGCGCTGAGGTTAATTATGAATGTGCTGGACTTATACGCAGTTGTGTCGTACCTTGTGAATCGGAAATACGTTTACACTGGATGGAAAGTGGGCAAGCCGCAGCATATCTGCAGTGACTTTAACATGAGGAGCATCTTCCATAAGCGCCTCGAATCGGTTTAAACGTCAGACGCAGAGAGCTCTTTATCGCTTGCTCTTGGATTACACTGACCATCATTCTTGCCGAGAAGGCAATGTTTGCCCCTGATCCCTGCTACTGATAGTCATGAGTTGAAGGTGATCTACCTTGCGGCGGTTATGGTAACGGAAAGAGAATATGAGACGAGGTTATTGAGTTTTTGAGTTATCGTTTTCTGCCATTGTTGAATCTTCCTGCTCGAGAGCTCGTCATCTCCGCTGGCACCCATGAGTTGGCGGTCAATGGTGTGGTAACAAAGCCTTGTGCTGTTTAAAGTTGAGGGAGGAGATGCCGATCTTCAACGAGGTAGGAAGGTGGTGCTGACGTCTGGATGAAAAGATATAAAGGTTTGGTAATTCAGCTGGCAATGATTCTTGGTTTTGCTTCTTTTAATTCTCCGACGTGTATATCCGCAGCGAATATTCCTAAGGGCCGTTCTTAACAAGGATCATGGGGTTATGATTCAAAAGTGGTTTAGGTTAGTTTGTTGTGTGATCCCATATTGGTTCTTAACAAGCTCATGATCCCATTCAATTCTATATTAAGGCATCACTTTGTGAGGTGTTCGATTGCGCGGAGCTACACCATTTCTGGAGTATTCTAGAGCGTAATGGACTCAGCGACAGACACTTACACGGTTATGACTACAACCAAATGGACCGCAAAGCAAAAAACAGATAGTAAGCGCGCTGTGCTTCCTCCCACATCCGATGACTACAGCGAATGGACCGTTGACCAGCTAAAACTTGAATGCACAGCTCGTAAGCTGTCAGTTGCCAAGAACACCAAGAAAGAAGATCGTGTCTCAATCCTCAATGCTTACGACCAATCCAAAGGCGGTGTAGCACTGCTTTTGGAGAGGCAGAGACTTGGTAAAAAAACAAAATCGTCTTCAGAGACAACCGATGCTCGCAGAACCAAACATTGTTTATTTCGCTTGGTTAATGTGCTTTTTTCAGATGAATTCTTTGGCAAATTTGTTACATCTGGGAATCAGCTAACGAGAAAGGAGTTAGATGAAGGAAGGAGAAACGTTTGGGAGTCTGTTGCGGCAGCATTTAACACTTCAAACGAGATCTACGATCGGCTTGTATCTGACGATTCTCTTTTTGATGGCATTTCTCCAGACCAAATTACGGTACATTCCGCCGCCAAGTTGAAATCGATGTGGAAAGATCTCCACGCCGCATTCTCCCAGGCTGAAGCTAATTCTAAAATATCCGGCGAGCACGCAGAATTTTGGGATTTTTGTCGTGGAGATAAAGCCGTCATGTACCTCAGCCTATGGTGTGATTTACGCGGATCTGGACGCGAATTTTGTTCCGCTTGTGTGTATGAGGAAAACGAAGATGATTCAACCAAAGAGGGGGAATCTAAAACCACTTCAAATAAAAGCAATAGAAAGCGACAAAAGACGGATGATTCGATGTCAAAGCTTACTGCTATTATAAAGACTCTGATTGATGTGGAGACGAATAATAAAACTGAGAAAGACGCTCTGATTCGGTTGCAGCGTGAACGCATGGAATTGACTGCGAAAACAGACAAGCTAGCTGCAATTGAATCGATATTGAGCCGTCACCGCCACAACCTCCAAGAAATCGATGCACTTATTCATCAGCAAAACATCAAAGGAATGCCAACATCCTCTCTTCGAAATGACAAGGAACAGATTGAACTCCGTATTAAATCTCTCCAGAACAAGGCAAGCAAGCTTGAAGACCTGATTATAGACAGCTAACTAATATCAGGAGTATTCGAACAAACTACAGATAGTAGGGAAGAACAAGATATAAAATCAAAAGTATAAAAAAGCGTCTGAAAAAAAATATGTATTATGGCCGAGCCATGTTGTAACTTTGAATGTGTTCTAAGACTACTTGTCGTAGGATATGACCATTTTTCACTTTGATACAAGAATTAGACGCATCGTCATTAAGTGTGTGCTGATAACTGCAATCTTCCATGGCGTTAAACTCCTGCAGTATAATTTTGCTACTTCCAGCGCTCACCGTAGCTCCCAACCGATCGTCAATACAATAGTTATGCAACTTCATGCAGGTTTTGATCACAAGGCCTGTGTGGACATAGTCTACCACCAATGCTCTCTGAAATATTCGCCACTTGTTGACAAGCAGACCGAATGCCATTTCGATTCTTATCCTTAGTTGAGACAAATAGAAATTGTAAGCTGAATGCTCAGGACTTTTAATTTCGGGCTTCGTGAAAGGAACCACCATTGACGAAGCGAGAATATACGCATTGTCTCCAATTATGTAACAGCCAAAAGGAAGTTTCTCGAAATCAGTACAAATTCTCCATTTTTTTAGTGCGACACTGTCAGAAACTTTACCAGGAGAATTAAAGGAATAACCCGTGAATCTGCACGAGGCACCACACATCGCTTGAACGTTAATTCCGTATGTAAGATAGTGTCCAGAGAAAAAGGCGGAGACATCAGGGGTTTCTTTTGCACTCGGCGCTCTGATTGTACATAACCAACCGTCGATACAGCCTACACAACCTGTGAGAATATTGTTTGGACTGATCTCTGCAAATGATGAAGCCACCGCCTCGATAGCTCGCGCGTCATATATTGGAGCAACGATCTGAAAATTTGGGTGATCACAAATTGCTTTCATGACGTCAACAACTATTGTGTAGAATGCGGGTGTACTAACACCAGCCAAAACGCGTATAGAGTGGTAAGACCCACCGGCAAGCCAAGAAATGGTCATTTGAAGCATGTTAACTACCTCAATCGCCTTTATACCAGTTCTGTTAGTTGATTTATAGGCAACCCGCTGCAAGTAGGGGGTTACTAGATGTAGTAGGCCATCGAAAGCGCCAGCACTCATTCGGTAATAACCCTTGAACTGACCTTCGAGTAGTAAGCGTTCCCGGTGGGGAATCCACTCCAGTCGTTCCCTCGAAACAACCCTTTTTCGGCATGATTTATGTGTTTGGGAAGTGATGATACTAGCCACGAGCAATACAATTATTTCAACCTTCATCTTGATTGTAGCAAGCTGTGCTCCGTGATCCGAAAATGGGTTGTGACCCTTAGCCGGGATCACCGACTCACAGTCTAGTCACCATATGTATTTTGGTATCCAATCAGAACGCAGAATTTCGGATCATGCCCCAATCATGATCCCGTTAAGAACGGCCCTAAAGAAGACCTGGCAAGAGTCAACAAGGTATCGTTAGCATTATTTTGCACTGGTTAGCCTCATCTAATACGACTCCGTGTTGTGAAACGTTCCTTACCTATGATATCCAGCATGATATCACAAGAACTCGCTATCCATCGTGCTCAACACCGTTGGCGACAATCCGCAAACTTTCAGCGGTGACTCCCCAAGCACGTACACACCAGGGACAGTCAATACTCCTGCTTCTTCGACTTCCTGGCTTGTAAATCTGCATGTTCTTGCGTTGTGCCCAGGCTTGTTGCACTTCGTGCAGTAGTATGCACCTCTGTCTGGTGTGCTCGCAGACGTGATGTTGGATGCGAAAAACTTGTAAATGGTAGGAGTAGCATCGTGTTCATCGTACCCTTCTTCAACTATCGCGTCTGTGCATTGCTGCTTCGTGGACGGCAGCTTGGCCTCTTCGCCCCTACTAAGAATCCGCTTTTCACCCCGCTGAATGTCACCAACTCTAGCTCTGCGCGTTCCTCCAGCTTGTCGGTAACGTGGTGCTGGTAACACACAACTACTTGCGGCCGTTATTTCATTAACGGGCAAGTTAATCTTCACCGCACACATTGCAACACGCATGTTGCGGACTAAATATGCTGGGTGAAAATACCGTAGCACAGGAATCTTGCCAGGATTGCGTCTCTTCAAGTCAAAGAGAACAGCCTGGATATGGCGACACGGAATTTTTAATTGTTCCGAAACGCGGCACGGCCGACACTTCCCCGAAATCATGTTCGTTTCAAACATTTTCGTCGCCGAAGCAACATCGCTGCGGTCAAATGGTTGGAATACATAAAAGCAGCCGATTTGAGACGGCAACACTGTAAGCTTCGCAACATGCTTCTGTTCGGCGTCAAATAGCTTCTGAGCATGTGGTGTGATGTCAAATTGCTCAGCAACCCAACTTTGTGCAGTCTCTAACAAAGCATGGTGATTCTCTACAGCTCGCAAGCAGTAAGCTCTCAAAGCTCTAAACACAAGGTTGTTGCGGGCTCGCTTCCAAGATAAGCCGTTGTTATCACCTTCTACTCCGCTGGTTGAACGCACACCAAAAAGAGGAAGGCCGAATCCATAAGAAGACGTATCTTTCCAATTCTCCTTGAGCCACGCAGTTTCATTATCGCTCAAATCACTGTTGCCCAAGACTGTCCAGCTAGTCGGGTGAATCTCCTGCAGGTACGTCCACACAAATTCCTCCGTGGGGTTTCCACCACTACCTGACGGTATTCCAACCGGAAACATCTCCTTCAAAGGTTCGATGTTCCGTTCATATTCACGTACTGTGCGAGCCGATTGCAAGCGCATTATGTGCTGTTTGACATTGTCTTTTTTCACATCGACCTTCTTGAATTTGTCGACGGTGTTAAACCGAATGTGAACTGCACAAAACTTGAGATGCACGTGTAAGCCTAAACGTTGGAGCTCTTCCTGAGCGCCAAATTGTTTCCCACGATCCGAGAAGGTCGGTCGGTCATGTAGCAATACTCCTGCTGCAATGCAGTTTGCAAAAAAACAAACAAAATTTTCAATGGTCTCTTTGTGAACGTACGCGACAGCAACAGGTATAATCCTCTTGTTGCCGTCCTTTCCAACTAATGTCAAACAAACGCCATTATACTTTCCGTGTTTCATGTGGGTTCCGTCACACTCCCACACAGGAAGAGGTGAGTCCTGAACTTTCAAAGTTGGACCAATTGAAAGAAAAGAACGATAGAAACGACCCGAATCATCGAGCTGGCAACACACACGCGAACCTTCGTTTTGTTCTGCGAACAACGCCATGTATGCTGGGAGCGCCTTGAATTCTTCGTTTGTATCGCTTTCCAATCTACTCAAAGCAGAGCTGATAGCTCGGTAAAGCACAGAATGTTTCTTCGAAACATTGATGTGCTCGACAGACTCCAAATTGTTGATAACTCGAGTCTTTGACGAACTATGGCCCTCCAAAATGGCCGCTCGAAATCCGTCCAAGCGCTCGATTTGACCTCTATATGGGTTGGCCGTGCTACAACAGCATTGAGCATGTTGAAGATTCAATTTCGAAGTGTACCAAAAGTTGTCTGGAACAAAGCTGAGTTTGGTCACCGGTCGCTTACGATTACTCTTCGTTTCTAATCTCACTCGTTTCCGTGATAAGACAACGAACCACTGACAGCCCCTCGCAGAACAAACCCATTTCCTGTAGTTTCCATGGTTGTTCTCGAGCCGTACAGACTTGTTTGTATTCAGTGCAAAGTCATTGATAAATTTCCCAGCAATATCAGCATTCGCGAAAGCAATGTGAAGGGAAATATCGCTGTAGCCCATACTCTCCCAATAAGTCAATCGGCATTTACTTCTCCAGCGCGAATTCCTGTATGTTGTGCCTAGCTACGTTCTCCTATCTTCCTAAAAACAACTTTTGAAACGGACGTATTTTAGCCAATGGGAGAGTGTGCGCTCGTTGTGGAGTTTGAGCTGCTGTCTGGAGGTAAATATCCCAAATGCACATGCTACACTTAATCGAAAAGTGCGTGTCTTTCGTTCCGCCCAAAAAATCGAGGCTATGTTCTTGACATATGGCATCAGATGTTTTGGTCCTTACAAACTTTAGTATTACAATCAACAATGCCCTTTTTACTCATTTCTATGCACATTTGATCCTAGGAAGTGGGGCTGTCGGCGATGCGTTTTGCAGCAATCCCTACGCTGCTCCTGTAGCTAAAACCAACTTCTGCAGATGCGTTGCATTCCAAGCTGCATTCTGGCGTAAAGCTTGTCACTTTAGGCTTCTTTGTTTATTAAATATCGCAAGAAATGTTCTGTGCATGCATGATCAGCATCAATTTCCCGCAGACGTTTGAGCTTCCACCATTTTAATGAAAGACAAGCAAGTCAAACTATGTGTGTTTGTCTGTGATCTCTGTGCTACCCTGTTTCCATTGCGGGTCTGCCGGCATTAATCCGATAATTACTTTTGTATTTATGGGCAAAGCAAAAAAATGGTGGTGCATTAAATGCACCACCATTTTTTTGATGAAATTTTCATCTCGCCAGTACACTAGTGGAAGTTCCAGCCTGTCTTGATGCTATACTGTCACAACTAAACGATTAAATTAGCGTACCGTAATAGGATATAAGTAGTACTTTACTTGTCGAGCACAGCAAGCTGCGAAGAAATATCGCTCATTTGTGTTTTTCTCTCGGATCTGGCACGTTCACTTCACCCTTCTCAACTCAAGATCAAATCTACTGCCTGTTGCTCACAAAAAGCATTTGGTGACAATGAAATTCATTCAAGTTGGATTGTTCCTCGGTTTGGTAGCTACACTCGTGAGCAGCTTATCCTTCTCCGAGCTTTCGACTGATCTTACACCCGACGAAGAGACTCGTATCTATGGTGGAACGAATGCGAAGATCGATAAGTACATGTACGTAGCGAGTGTGCGTGCCGAAGGTCCTGAAAGCGACACGTTTTGTGGTGGTACGCTGATTGCACCTCAGTACGTTCTCACGGCTGGCCATTGCTTGGAGTGGTATATGCACGACGTGTTTGTCTCCTTCGGATCGAATAAAAGATCAGGAAGGGGCCCTAAAAACTCCAAACAGATTCACGTAATTGAGGCTTTTCGTCGCCCTCAGTACAAGCTGTACTACAACCTATCTGCCGCTACAGATGACATAGCAGTGCTAAAGTTGGAGACACCATCTAAATTCCAACCTGCGCCTTTGGCATCTGCTGATGGATCTAACAACGAACCCGGATCCATCGCCACAACGCTTGGGTGGGGATTTCTGGTTGACAAAACCAATTCCTCTACTTTGCAAGCTGTGGACGTCGAAATTTGTCACGAACAGAAAGTGTTCCGACTCATTCAAGACATACAACTACAGTCAGGTTATAGATGACTCAGTGATATGTGCGGGAAATAAGGACGGGAAGGACTCGTGCAACGGTGACTCGGGCGGTCCTCTTTTCGTTGATGGAGTACTCGTTGGAGTCGTAAGCTCTGGATATGAAGAATGCGGTATTATACCAGGGGTATATGCGCGTGTGACGAATGCACTGGATTTCATTAAGGATATCCTGCGTGGTGGATCAACCGGTAACGTAACGGAGCGATTGACGGCTGGAACGAGCCCTGCGTTTGGTTCCATCGCGAATCAAGATGGGTCGGCAAATTACGTGGACTTACTCGTGGCGTTGGAGAACCGCTCGAGATGGAGTGTACATTTATCTGGTTAGCGGGGCAGAGTTGGCCGCAAAAAAAAGTAAGTAGAGCTACTGATAGAGAAATTGCTGAACTGTTCAAAATAACCGATTATCAGACATGATGAAGGAAGAAGAATCACGACACGAAACAAGCGTATTGCCCCAAAACAATGCTGATTACAGCCCACCTCCTTATTTTTTGTTGGTTTTGTATTGGATATGAAACATGTTTTTGCCCCGTCGAGTGCCTTGAAACTAACACAGATAGTATGATACAATCTTGAGCTCAATCATCGCCAGACCGAAGAAAATCGTGCTGGAATTGCAAGCGGGTAGTGTTCTGTTAAGTACGAAGAACGTAACCGGGCTTTTCCGAACCGGAGCGAACGGCGAATCCAGACCATTCACCGATTCGCCGCCCAGAGCTCAGAGCACAGGACGATCAAGTAGCGCAGAGCTACCGAGAAGAAGCAACCAGGTTGCCAGGAATTTTTTCATGCGCGTTATCGCCTCTGCTCCCACTGCTCCATCGCGGAACCCGCCGCGGGCGTCGTATTCGTCCCTCGGAGGGAGAACAGTGCGCTTGGAGGCTCCGGATGAGCTGACGGGCCGCTGGGATGGACCCGTGTACAAAACGATTGGTCGTGATCCGGTTCTGCGGGAGTCTGCATCCAGCCCATTCTTCGACGATGCTGACGGATTGAAGCGGCCTGCCTGGCAGGCCACCCTCACGTTTCTGCTGCCTGGTCAGCGCCGATCTGACGTCGACCCCGCGCTCCAGGAGCACGTTGACGTGGAGTATTGGATCCCACACTGGCGACTGACGCACCCGTCCCATGATTTGTCGGAGGAGCTCCTGGAGCGCCCCCTTCTTTTAGTCTTTCGGATCCTACGGTTTTCTCAGTTCTTCGTGGCCTCAACTGATTGTGACACCAAGTTCGTTCGTCACACCTCCAAGGTGTACTTATGTGGTCAAGTCCTCTCCTACGTTCGAGCTTCGACCATCGTTTTGGTGGATGACATCAACCTTGTGCTGGATCCGGGATGCAGTTACTTGTGTATGGTGGGCGTGCGCGGCCCTGCGGACGCGCCCCGTCAAGTGGTAGCCGTGCCATTGAATGACATGCGCAGCCAAACTATCTCACGTGAAGAATTCCTGCTGGGCTTTGGACATGGTGTACGAGTCACATCACCACTGCCTGACTTTACGACTGCCTGGCAGTTGTTCACTACGTCACCGCCGGTCGGACCGGCGGGTGTACGATCTGCACTAACGAGTTTATTCAAGGCACCTGCTGCTACGGGTGGTGTCTTGGTCGACATTGGTGGTCAGGCCATCTCGTACGTTACCCCTAGTGGGGCTAAGACTTCAGTGGTTCCCGCTACGTTTGCCTGGCGATGCGTGGCTACCCCGACGTTCGACGATAATGCCTCCGTGGATTTGGATCGATTACATGAGTCGTCAAACGACAATGGTCTTCCCTTGCTTACGCTCGAGGATACGATCCTCACTCCCTGCGACCTGTTCTCTACCGTACGCGTGGTGGACCCACCAGCGGCACCTGGTGCCAGCGCAGCCACGAGTGCTCCACAACGCGGGCCGGACCAGTCTACGGCCCACACGTTCTTGCAGCGCCTATTACAGGAACAACGCGACGCCAATGCCGCCTTTCGTTCCCAGATGGAGACCATGACAGCCACGCTGGCATCGTTACAGCAGCAAGTGGCCCAACCCGCAACTTTGCCTCCGCCGCCCCAGGGGCGCGCGGACCCTATGGCTAATTCGGTCCCAAGAGACACCACTCAACTTCGCATCGTTGAGCAGCAAGTAGGTCGTCATCAGTGGCCGCGTCACGAGCTCGACGAGGAGCCACAGTCACCGGGAGGCTACCTGCAAGCACATGGGCAGGCGGAGCCGGATCAACGTGGGCGTGCACGAGGTCGTTCCCGTTCACCGGCCCCACGCCGCCTCCGACGCTCTTGTTCCCCGCATCAGGCGCGTCGCTCTCGATCACCGCGCCAGGCGCGTCGATCTCGATCTGGTAGCCCACAGTCCCGACTGGTGCACTTTCGTTCTCGTTCACGATTAGGCTCCGAGCGACCTCACCGCAGGTCCGGTGCCAGGCACCGTCACTCTCGCTCCCGTCACCACCGGTCGCGCTCGCGGCGTCGTTCGCGGTCCCGTGGCCGATCGCGGTCGCCGGATGCGATGGCCCAGGGCCACCTGCCGGTTGGCAACAGTTTGCTTCGACCATCGACCAGCGAAATTGCGGTACATCGCGCAGCTCGGATGGGTCCGCGCCCCCCGCTTCGGTCAGCAGGTACGGATGAGTTATACAGGCGTTTCATTAACATGCCGTGGCACGATTGAGTCTGCGCCATCCATCGTCAAGAGTGTTTTCGAGGGCAGTACCGGGTCACCAAAGTGACCGCCAAGATGTTGTTCTCGATGGACTTGTTTAGCCGTCCATTCGACCACTTCTTGTCCTCGGAGGACCCCGGGGGCTACCGTCAAGACAGAACAGTGGTTCACGAGGATTCTCAGTGGGGCGGCTCTGAGCCGGCTCCAGCCGTAACGATCCGCCGGGCGGACCAATTGCACCAGGTGCTTCACGTTCTTCAGGAGGCAGCGGCGGAATGGTATCCTTCCGAGGTGGCTGCCGTTTTCCGTACGGTGCATGGCGACGCCGTTCAGAACGTGTCCCTTGTGGCTCCCAGAGAGCTGCTCAACGCCATGTGCAACCTGTATCAAGCGGTTTTCTCCAACCTGTACGACGACCTTCTTCACGAGACAGACCATCGTGACCTGGAAGTTCACGCCCGCCACGAGTTGCGGCAGGACTCGCCGTCGTATCAACGCTTTGTGGCCCGTGTGCTCAACGCTGCGGTGGTCCATTCTGTGTTTCCAGCGTCGCCGGCCAGTGCTCCACGAAGGCGCCAGCCGCGCGGCACTCCTCGACACGACCGCAGCCGTCGTCCGGCTCGGTCTTCGGGTCCGACCAGCCGTCGGCCTGACAACACCTCGTCAATCATTCCGCCCGGCATCCGTACTCAGATTCCGGTTGTTAACGGCAAGCAGGTGTGCGTTCGGTTCCAGTCCGTAAAAGGGGGCACATTCCCCACTTGCAGCCATCTGCATGAACTTCATGAGCTCCCGCCAGACGTAGTGGAGTGAATGACTGGAATGCAGGCCGGCCTCAAGGCCGCACACCCGCAGCGGGTGTGAATGGTTTGGGGTGGATTGCAATCTCAATTGTCGTCTCGTTTATTAAACATGACCACTGCTGATTCATTTCCTCCCGTGAGTCCTTCTGCGTCTGACGCTATTACCACTTTGCTCCGGGTGTCAGACACTCGGTCCGCCACACACACTAATTTGGTCGCGTCTGACGCGTGCCTCCCTGGCCCTGGTGCACCTGGTGCCCAGGCCGGGTCACCTATCGCCAGGCTTAGAGTTCAGTGTGCCCTACCACTGGATCCAACGGTGTCTGACACTAGTCCGCGTGTTGCCGGTGCACCTGGTGCTCGAATGGCGTCATCGGACGCTGCTACTCATGCACACGCAGTGGTAGCCACCAGCCCATCGGTGTCTGACCCTGGCTCGTGCGATTTCGGGGCACCTGGTGCCCGTACGGTGTCATCGGACGCTGTCACCCCTGCCCATGCAGTCGAAACCACCAGCCCATCGGTGTCTGACACCGGCTCGTGCGATTTCGGAGCACCTGGTGCCCGTACGGTGTCATCGGACGCTGTCACCCCTGCCCATGCAGTCGAAACCACCAGCCCATCGGTGTCTGACACCGGCTCGTGCGATTTCCGGACACCTGGTGTCCAACCGGCGTCATCGGACGGCGTAATCCCTGGCCGCGGCTTGGCAGTCATCAACTTATCGGAGTCGGACTCCAGGCCGGAGGGGCCGCCACCGCCTCCAGCGCGACCCACGATTTTCGCGTCTTTCGACGGGGGGTGCCGAGCCGTCAGTGGCCGTAGCTCCTACGCCTGGTGTGTGTGGTCGGATTCCCACACTCTCCTTCGTTGGGAAGCTCGTACGTTCGTCACGGCACGTACAAACAACGTGATGGAGGCCCAGGGTTTCTTCGCATGCCTCTTGTGAATCCGTTTTGCCTTTCCGAACTGCCATACCTACGTTTTCGGAGATTCTAGTGTCGTCATCAATCAGGCACTGATGCTCAATAGGTGCCGGGCACCCTCGCTCCGACCCTGGATCGGGGCCATCCGCGCCCTGGGCGCCGGACATACTGCGTTCTATCTCCAACACGTGCGCCGTGCGTACAACATCGCGTCTGACGCCTTGTGCAACTGGATTATGGATACGACTTCCGCGGCGGACGTCATCTTAACCGGATCCGAGTGGCCTTGCCAGCCGTCATACGCGCCGGCTCAGAGCCCCGCTGCGCTGACCCAGTTCTACCCATCAGTTGCCTCGGTCGAGGCCAGTCCGAGGAAGTACGTATTGGCGGCCTGGTCCCTCATACTCCAGGAGTTCATGTCCGTCTCACACCTGATTCGGCTTCGGTTCGCACCGACCTCGGCGGATAGACCTAAACACCCGCCAGTTCGACCTCCAGAATCACCCCAGAGGGTGGAAACATCGGCCCGCTCGATGTGGTCCCGATTCGACACAGCTCCGACCCGGTCGTGCGTTGTCCTAGGGCTTCGACGCTGCGTTCCGGCGAGCGTGTTTGCCCAGCTCCAGGCCGAGGCCTCCCGTCGGCACATACCATTCCCGTTAAGGGCCGCGTTCTTAGCAGCTGGGCCGGGCCCGTTGTCTATTCCAGAGGTCGACCTCCGCATTTTGGATGCGCTCGTGGCCGACCCCAGCTGGGGATAGCCGGTACGCTCGAACTCTTTCGCGGTCAGACTTCGGACGACTACCGCCCGAACAAAGCGCTACGCCCGTGGTTGTATCAGGAGTATCTTGGGTCGTACCCGGAACTTACGTTACTCTGTCGAATCGCCCAGGAGGGTTTGACTCCACCGTGGAAGGACCCGACATCGCGGGCGGGCACACGACCAGTTCCTGCGAACTACCCAGGCGCCGATACGGGTGCCGAAATTGTCCGGGACAACTTGCTCTCAGACTATTACAAAGGACGTTGCCTGGTCGCTCGGATGTCTACGTTGGTACAGGACCCGACATTCCAGTCCAGCACGTTCGCCCTGGTCCCCAAGAAGGACAAACCTCTTCACGTGGATGGTCGTATCATTCACGACTTGTCGGCTCCGAACGGCCAGTCGGTCAACGCTCAGCCTGCCTCTGAGGCGTCGCCGGATGCAACGTGGGATCCGTTTATTTCTATAGCTCGCAGAGTCTGCGACCTCCGTTGGCGGTACCCAGGGTGCAGCATCTACGCCATGGTCGCGGATATCGCCGATGCATTTCACCACGTGCCGGTCCACGCGCGTCATGCATCGGCTTTTGGGGGCTCCTTGCCGCGTAGTCCTCATGGCATAGTTTCCGGTATGGCTGGTTTCGGTTGTACGTCCTCCCCTGGATTCTTCGCGGTGTTCGGGAAAGCAGTCCGCCATTTTAGCGCACAGGATTATCGATACTGCTTGGCCACACTGAACCATTCTGGATCTTCCAGTGGGTGGACGACATCGTCCTTATCGAAGTCGACTTTGGCGATCGACTTCAACAAGCAGAGAAACGTCTCAGAGACGGAGTTAAACTCGTGTTTGGATCAGATGGATGGCATGAGGGCAAGTTCACGACCTGGTCGCGCGTTTTCCATGCGGTGGGGATCGACTGGAACATTCCAGACGAGTGCATCACAGTACCTCAACGCAAGATCGACAAGGTACATGCGGTGTTAGCTGAAGCGATTGGGAAGTCCTACATATCCATAAAACGATTGGACAGCCTCATAGGTGTTCTACGCCATGTCATCAGCTTCATACCCATCACTAAGCCGATCATACAGCGTTTGACAGCGGTTCAGAACCGGTGTCGGAAAGAGGGCAAGCGAGGAGTTCCAATGTCAGCATTCCTTCGGAAGGACCTACTGTGGTGGAACGACTTGGTGTTCGAGAACGAGTTTGCAGGCTTTCCAATGAAACTGTTTGAGAAGGACTCGGGCTATGATGAGGTATGGCTGGTGGAAGCAGATACAAACGAGGTGACAATTACAAACATGCACCTCAGAGAAAGGTATCATGTCAAATTCGAGGACCCCGTCCTGGACGGTGGGGGAATAGCTGCGGCGTTAGCTACGGTAACATACGTGTGGGGACAGAAGCTGAAGGTCGAAGGCACCTGGTGCCGTGTCGTGATTCACAGCAGTCGCTGGATCACCAGGATGATCGAAAGTATGAATTGCAAGTCGCCTGTCGGACAGCACGACCTACGTCGATGTGCATTGAGCCAGGCTCGTTACAAGATTCATTTCACGACACACACTCTGAGTCGAAGGATGGAGCAGACTCCGAGGTGCGATGTTCATACAGAAACTAATACACGTGGTATGAAACAGGTACAACCAGACTCCAGGAAGTCGAGGCTAAACGGGATCAGCTCAAGCGTGCGTCCATCACAGAAGGCACGCCTGGACGGTACAGTAGGAACTTCGAGTTCTGGGAATCCTTCTGCAACGAGTTTGGTTTTCCCGTGTGGATTCACGAACTGCCCAGGGCACGACAAGCGAGGGTGGTTGGATTATTCGCAGCGTTGTGCGCTTCAGAAGGGCACAACCGAGCGAGGAAAGGAAACAAGTACCAGACATTCGAAGGAAAGATGGCAGCTGTGGCATTCGCACACAAAGTCGTTCGGAACGGCCGGCTCAATTACCATGATCCGGAATTTGAGCTCATCGCTAAGGGTTACAAACGTACCCACAGTCAAGTGGATCGGAAACAGCCAGTTACTACACCAATGTTGCTCAAGATGTGGGAGCTCATAGACCACCATGACCCAGAAGGTCAAATGCTGTGGGGATCCATCGTTCTGGGATTCTTCTTCCTCGACAGGAGCTCAGAGCTCTGGGGACCAATAGTTGTGGACAGTTCCACTGGATCGGACAGGGTCCACTGTGTGAAGGCAGCCAACGTGGTTATACGAGATCGGAGTGGAAACAAGGTAGGATACGAAGCCCCAGGGGCGGCCTCAGTAGAGGTGGTATATGACTCTCACAAGGGAGACAAAAGGGCGCAAGGCGTCACGGTCCGCCACTACAGAACCGAGCACCAGGTGCTGTGTCCAGTTATTGCGGCCCAACAGTGTTTAAGAATTCGAGCCGAGTGGCTCGTATCTGGTCGGACCCTGGGTCCATATTTGACGTCGGTGTCAACAACACGCACAATCAAGAAGTCTCGTGTGAGTGAGGCGATCAAGGCAGCAGCTGCAAGCATGGGACGCTCAAGGAAGGACTATTCGGCCCACTCTCTCCGCATCGGAGGAGCGTGTTCACTGCTCGCAGCGGGGAAAAGCGAACTAGTCATCCGACTAATGGGACGGTGGTCCAGTTGGTGCTTCACAGTGTACACCAGACTAAGACCAGGAATGATCTGGGATGCGGCAAGTTGTATGATCAAGGCCTCGACTTGGGAATGCCACGAACCCGGCATCGTGCCGAGCCAGGCTCCGCGCCAATCGAGAGGGGAACTCCAACGAGTCTAACTCTTCAAGCTAATCAAGTTAACTTGCCCCTAGCAGTGATGTCCGAAGGAGGAAAGTTGCTGGCTCCACACTTTTGCAGATCTACAAGGATGGTCGTGGAGTATAGACTCTATAGTAAAGCGCGGGCTGGTGGTTTGTTAAGTTGAGTTGAAGCAACGAATTTACTACTTGTAGTTGAAGGTTCTATTCTTGCTTTCACTATGTGCTGCTGCAACCTGTAATTTTTGTCAACAAAATCTGGTTCACAATGTTGCCACCGTTCGAGAGCGAGGAAGTGATGAGTCTGGCGCGGGCGTGGATCGCAGTGGCATCAGGTTTCCAGCTGAGCAGAGCGTCGCGTTGTTCTGAAAGCAAGTTGGGTCTGAGTATGCAATATGCCGCCAACGTTTGGACGTCGGACGGTTGATGAGCTGCAGAGACAATGGCAATCCATGCGTCCCCAATATGGTGGCCTTCGTCACGCTCTTCAGTCAGAAATACAAGAGATCAACGGATGCTTCGCTTTCTCTGGCTTTCGAGTGGGCTGCCAAGACCTTCCGAGTAGCTACGAAGAGAGAGTTTGAGTATGTAGCGGTAGCGTGGCTACTTGTCAACCAGGCAACATACTGAAAGGATCTCAAGCCAAAACTTATGCATCAATTTGCCTCGATGCACGAGGAAGAAGAACTGAGCGGAGAACAAGATGAAGGGGGCCGACCTCCTGTTCCACAATCTCCGAAGACGCCAACGTCTCCCGTTTGTGGAAATACGCGATCAAGGAGCGAGGGCGACGAAGACGAGAGGCGCGTGCGACAGAGGATCGAGTACGCAAACCCCTACGTCGAATTGGATTTGACAAGCGAAGGCTCAACGCCACAGAAGGCAAGTGTAGTACAAGCTGGATCAGAGGGGCGTGACGACGACGACACTGGTATGGCACGAGTGCTGGAGCGTCGACTGGAGCTGGACATCATGAAACAGAGTGAGGTTGGACTGTCGGTTGAAGCAAAGGAGTATCTCCGCCTGCAGCGTCGATTGATCCTGCAAAACCTGATACCGAAAACGCTGGATCAACCGTCGTAATGACAGGAGCGACTCAAGTTGGGTGTTCATTCGTCTTCGTATCTAATCTACACGCGGCTCCGCGCATTTTAACGTATTTCATTTCCGTGGTTGTATTTTAAGCCTGATCTGGTCGTGATGCTCGTTGCTCCGTTCTGTTGGACTATTCAAGTCGTGGCATCTACTGTCCACGAGAAGGCGAGAGAGACTGCATAGCCTGTGTCGTTGGGCTCCCTCAATGGCGTCAGCAAAGCGCAATTCCATACACTAAATAGTACGTTGAAGCTGCTAGCGAAACAGTACGAGTCGCAGCGTCAATTAGCCAAAATGCGGTGGCCCCCGCTCGTACTTTTGGCGCTGCTACTGCGATGTGATGCAACAGATGCGGCCTGTGCTCGTGGTGTGTACAATAACAAGATCTGTTCAGGACACGGGGCCTGCAACACCCGTAAACTGTGCGAGTCCGACGTTAGACACTTTGTTTTTGACAGTTCGCAGAGTGAGTGAACAATCTACAGATAAGGAAACTTCGATCATTACTCATAAACTTTACCGGGTGTGGCAGAGCGCTGTCCGCTAGGGCCTGCATGGGTGGCTCCAGCGCGAGCGACGGACGACGCCCACTACCTCGTCGAGTGCTCGAACAAGGGACCATGGAGAAGGCAAATGCACATGCGACGAAGGCTTCATAGGCTCAGCCTGTCAACGCAGTACGTATATATCGGATACTGACGATATTCGCAGTATCGGATGTAACTTGCTGACCCCCCGTTGACGCTTAGTGGAGTGTGCCAGTGACTGCAACGACGTTGGGCGATGCGTGTCGCTCAAAGGTCTGTCGGCAATGTATGCGGTGGGCACAGAACCTTTGTACGACTCGGCGTGGGATGCAGATATGATGTACGGGTGCAAGTGTAGCAAAGGATACCACGGTTACGATTGCTCGTTGAGTACGAACTATTTACTTTGAGAAATGTGAATTTGGTGGATTTGAACTCACACGTTTCTTTAAACTTTTAGAATCTTGTCCACGTGGAGATGACCCCATGACAACAGGCCAAAAGAATGAGGTGCAGATTGTGCAGTGTACTGGCACTGGAGGGTCGTTTTTCATGTTCTTCAAAGGGCAAAGCGCGGAAATACCCTTCAACACAAAGCTGGAAGACTTTAAGACGATTCTCACTACGATCAAGACACTTCCTATGGTCAAAGTCACGTTTGGCGGTACAGCAACAACAGTTTGCACTAGTGGGACGGCAAACCCTATCATGATCGAGTTTATTCAGGACTTCGGACCGTAAGTGCGGCTAACCGGATCCTTAAGAACCTTGATATCTGATTCTGGCTACTGTGTGGACTAGGCAATCTCCGATTAAAGTGTTAGGAGCGCTCAAGGGTGTCGTTTATCTTATGGGTGGCAGCGTGTTCGCGACCTCCGCAGGTGGCATTTTAGGCGGACGAACCTCTGTTCAAGGCACTAAGGAATGGGAATTCTGCAGCAGCCGAGGAGATTGCAATTTTGGTTGGTGCTGCTCGTTTTCTCTGGTTAAACTTGAGTATTCTTTACGATATTATGGTGACAATAGAAACGGGTCAATGCAAATGCTACACCAGCCCATTGCCGGGCTTCCGATCGAGTGACGGCTATGGAAATATTGGAACGCGAGGCGATTGCGGATGTGCCAACGATAAAAACTTGTATGGCGGGCCGATCTCAGCCTGTGTGGGTGAACTCGTTTGTAGTGGACACGGCTACTGCACCGGCTCGCCGTCTTACAAGTGCGTTTGCGAGAAAGGCTGGACGACTGGAGATTGCTCGTCGCGTAAGATATATAGTTATCTAGACTAGAAATCCAATGCGGTGACATTTTATTCTTACTTGAAAAATTGCAGGAAAGTGTCCGTCAGGGCCATCGTGGTTCACCACTCCGTCAGTAACTAATACCGTACACAACCATGTTCTGATGCAGGCATTTGCGACCGTACCACGGGTCAGTGCTCTTGTTATACTCCATTTGAGGGCTCTGCATGCGAATTTAGTAAGTACAGAGAGGTGGGAAGCTGCAAGGTAGAGTTCTAATTTGTCATCGCTGCACTGCACAGTGAAATGCCCTGGGGATCCTGTTTGCAGTGGCCACGGTCAGTGCATGACCATTCGTCAGTTGTCGCTAGAAGCAGACTCAGACTCGCCCTCGCTGGTCTTTGACTACGGCACAGATCCAAACAACATTTTAACATTCGACCGTGATAATATTTTGGGCTGCAAATGCGATCCAGGTTACGAAGCCTACGACTGTAGCAAAAGTGGGTTATCACTGTTTGATTCTTGTTGTTTTTGATTAACAAGAACTGTTTATGCTTGAATAGGGTCCTGCCTAAAGGGGGATGATCCCGTCACAACGGACCAAGTCGACGAGATCCAGCTGATCAAGTGTATTGCGACTGGAGGAGTTTTTCGTCTTCAATATCGCACCTTAACCTCGGTCGATATCCCATTTGACGTAACGATGGATGATCTTCGAGATATCCTCATGATTTCCTTCGGCTTTGAAGATCTTGAGGTGGAATACTCTTCCGGAACGAAAGCGTGCTCAGCTCCAGGGTCAGCTGAGAACATTATCACTATTGCCTTCCCACTCGAGCACGGTGACATTCCACCGCTAAGAGCGGAGACGACGGGGCTTACTACATCAAGTGGAGCAGTGAGCGTCGTCACCGCTGATAATGGAGCTGCAATAGGTGGTGTGGTAAGCCAAAAGGGCACAAAGGAGAACGCAGTTTGCTCCAACAGAGGCTACTGCGACTACAGTCAAGGTATCTGTTTGTGTTTGCTAGGATATGGCACAAGCGACGGTCGGGGAAATCAAGGCAATCGAGACGACTGCGGTCATATAATGCCGAAGGTAAAGCACTTGGCTCAGGGTTTAGCCACGAATTAGATTCATTTTCTGGTTATCCGTTAAGAGGCCCTACCCTCGAACTTCGATGCAAAATATCAGTTAGCTTGACGTTTCCGTTAGTTGACTGAAAATTAACCCTTACCAGTATAAAAGGTTTGCCAATTAGAAATGTTTTTAAAGGGTTTCTGTGAAAGATACCTTTTGATTCGCAAAAAATTATTAAATAACTCACTTCAAGTGCCGTCTATGGCGCCTCCCAGCCCCGTGCTCTTCTCTCGCCTCGCACCAGGGACACCAGCAGCCTACACAGCACTCGCCCAGGCTTGGATGACAGTCGTCAATAACGTGGAGTCTCTCACCCCCGAACTACTGGACTCGTCTGATCCATGCAGCGAAAACTATTCGGCGGAAGACAATGAAACGTTCTGGGCGCTGGTGCACCAAGGATATAGTGCAAAATTTGACGATCCTGCTGAAGCTGAAGATGCTCAGACTTTATGCTGGCAGTGGGAAACAGTTCGCATAGCTATCAAAGACTTTAACGGGATTTTAACAGAGATATGGCCAAAAGATCTGGCCAAACATTTGGATAAACTGCCAACACAAGACCGTCACAAATTATTGACACAGCTGCAGATCCTTTATCGAGACAGAATGGGAGAAAGCTTTGAGTATTTGGAGGTGTGGAATTTGCTGACTCATCATGCCAAGTGGGATCGGGTACTCAAACCTTTGATACTACGAGGTAAGATTGGAAAGACTGCAGCTACTACCGATGCTGAAGGGAAAACACAGAGATCACAGGGTGGAGATAATATCACAAAGAAGCCGGAATCTGCCGCTCAGGATCACTTACGTTTAACAATGGAGTGTGCCACACAACATCGTGGAGACTTGGAGACACGAACAAAGAGACCAGCCAGCATTTCATTGCCAACGCCGTCGTCGAATCCGGAAATAAGGATCACAGGAGCCAAACGGAGAAAGAGGATGCCGACGAGAGTGGAGCCACCGGTTGATTTCATGGACGAGGGCGAGGAGACTAGATGTACAGCTCTGTTGGGGGCTACCGGTAGGTGTGGGAACGCCAATTACATTAAAGTCGAAGAAATGAGTCGCAAACTGTTTCCTGTGTGACGCCTGATCGCTCTGACAAATCGAAAGCAGCTGCGGGACACGACGGAGAAGACGATTCTGATAGTGACTCTGGAACCTCAAGTGAGCCTGAAGGGCTTCCAGTATCAAAGGACAAAGACACTGAGCTCATAACAGAAATCGAGACACGAAAACCCCTCAAACAGAGTGAACAAACTACCGAGACAGTGGCCGTCACGCACTTAACATTGGCGTGGGCAAATGTTTGCTGCAGCTGGGCAGAGATGTCACCACGACTTGAAGAATCGAACGAGTGTTTTTGGCTCCACGTCTCGAGTATGTACTTGGATTTAGTAGTGAAGCGAGACCGCCCGAGTGGCATTGAGTTCGTCCTGAAACAGCTCTGGTATGAGATGCGAGCGGAAATTGTCGTCTTCCACACTCTGTACGAGGAAGAGCTGAAGGGCGACAGTTCTGTCAGCCGTACAAACCGCGAATCGATGGTTTCGCGTGCCCAGGAGGCTTATTGGTCGCGATGTGGCCAATGGTTCAAGCATCGCGCTGCATGGGAAATCCTGGAGCGACACAAAGACTGGGAACATACCCTAAAACGATTACTACTACTCGGTTTGGATAAGCGTACAAGTACTACAGATGGCGATGCCTCCTCTTGTAAGTTGACCGGAAGCATTTTACAAGAACCTACCGATAGCCATAACCTTGAAGGAGAGAGTGATGGTCCCGGGGATCTTGTACTTGTGCCAGCATCGGAGTCTTCTGAGGTTTCAGAAGACGTGAATGACGGGAAGCAGAAGAACGCAGCGGTGTCGGAGGGGTGGCTGGAATGGAACACTCGTTTGCTGGAACTGCAAGTGATGACACGCAGCGAGGTCGGGTTGAGCCCCGAAGCGTTGGAGTATCTCCGCCTGCGTCGACAACAAATTCTGGAAAAAGAACAGCTGAAAATGCATTTAAGCAAGCCGCAGACTGACTGATAGTGTTCAATTCATTTCTTGTTTATTATTTTTGTCGACTTTACTTGTGAATTTGTTTTTTTTTTCTTTTCAAAAGGAAAGTTGAAGTTTGCTACATTTGACCTCAGTATGCCCAACCAGAGGTATGCAAAAATTGATTGGAGTTGTTGGATTGCCAAGATTGTCAATCACAATAATTGATTGTGTCAAGATCGACAATCTCAATCTTAGATTTTCCCCTAGGTTCTAGAGCCTATTTGTGCTTCTAGAGCCAATCCTCCACGGTAGAATGGCGTTCCGCCAACCAAACGCTCGAAACCGAGCATACGAGCGAATACTCAATTTGCTTTGGCACCATTTTGGTCGGGACACCTGTTGTAAGAGAGAGCTGGAGTTCGCTGTGTGGCCATTATTCAATTTGCCACATACTTGCAAAGTCAGCGACCAGCAGCACACCATGAAGAGCGCCGAGATCGTCAACATACTCTACAAGGACCCAGTATCTCGCTCCCGATGAAGGAGTCACCAACATTTGCAAGCGGACTAGCTACAGTTCAAGCTGGTGTAGATTCGTCATTGCTGAGAAACGAGCGTAAGGTTTTGCATCGTCTATCTGTCACCTCTCCGCTGCAATCATAGCCAGCTCAGCTTCTCCAAGGTCGAAACGTAAGCGTGCCGCCGAGGATCTGTATGAAAAGCTTAAGAAAAGATCACGCACACGCACAGGACCACAATCGAAATTCAACGACGCAACGTCCGTAGTTGCTGAGCGCTTTTTGTTGGCGTCAAAAGTTCCGTCGGGTATTTGAGGAAGGGCATGAGCCACGAAAATCTCGAGGTGGTCATGTACTTGAAGCTGAACAGGGACTTAGTGACACTTGCGGACGTATCGAAGGCCATTGAGCGAGCTAAAACCATCAACGACGCAGCGGTAGTGTATATAATGACAATAGATTGCATTATCTAGCTTGAAGATTGACAAGATTGCAATCATAGATTGTTTTGAAGCTGAGCCGGCAATCAATATTCAATCTTTATTTACAGACCTCTAATGCCCAAGTGCCACTTGGCTTTTGTCGTTGACAAGCTACATGCCCATAGCTCGAGCCTTCGACGACGCAGAGAAACTGGCGCTGACCCAGGCGTGGATCTCCGCTGCCGAGGACTACGCAGCGAAAGTGCCTACTGCCTCGTTGAAAAGCGTGCTAGGCCACCCGGGTGTTTTCTGGGACAAAGTGTTAGCCACCTACTCTTTGAACGCCCCAGCCAGAAAGGTAGAGGAGCTGCTTGTTCAGTGGCAGACGATATTGCAGTCGATGGGCGAGTTCTTGAAGCTATTTGAGAAGAAATACTTTGAATCTCGACAAGATCTCCACAGCGACTGGGTGTGCGTGGGTCAGGCTTACAAATGAGTGGCGGCTGAGTACAAGGTCAAGACGAGAATGGCGTTCCGGGAGGTCAGTGCGGTGTCTCTGCTCACCAATCGGCAAAAGTGGTGGACTGTTTTGAAACCTCTAGTTAGATAACAGCAAAACGCCTCGATTGAGCTGAATCCTGCTACAGAGCAAGCGCAAACACCCCCGCAAGCAGCGAAGCGCTTACGATGCGAAGCCTATGGAGAACAGGAGCTAGATCGACAGCGAGTAGACGTGGAGAACGTCATTTTGACAGAGTCTAAGGTTGCGGTTCTCCTGTCTCCGCTATGGTCGACAAGTTCGGAGCAGTCGACACCGCAGAAGCCAAGTTTGTCGCTCTCGGAACGCCTGAAAATGCGCAAAATATCCGTAGTGGAGGGCCAACTCGACCTGAAGATCATGACGCAGAGTCACGTAGGACTCTCAGATGAAGCTGTAAAGTATCTACGCTGGCAACGCCGTCTTGTTATCGCTAAAGTGTGACGTCAGATGCGCGGCGTCAACGCGGAAGAAGTGTAGACAGGCAAGGGGAATATTATCGGTTTTTTATTACGCTCTACATGTATTGCAGTTTTCTTAGTATGTGCCATCCCTCTATTTGATTAGAATTCATATCCTTATTGAAAGACCTATTACACTCTCTATTAGCAAACGCGAGCTCGCAAAGCTTTTACTGTAAATATTAAAATACACGACTATTTATTACACCTATGCACAGTCTAAAACTGGGAATTCGACGGGATCTATGAAACAAACTGTAGTGTCCGCGCACACACTGCGCAGAGTGTCCTCAAGCACTCGATTGACACGCTCTTTCTGGCCGTCGGTCTGTGGATGGTCCGCAGCACCACGTACATGGTCGGCGCAGCTTCCAGTTGTTGAGTTTGCATTTAACAGCGCTGCGCACGTGTCCACGGGGCTCACGCCATTCTACTTGAACGGCTTCCGTCACCCCCAGAGTGCCTCTCACTCTTCAAGGAGACACTGACTTCTCTATTCTAAGTGAAGGGGAGACTCGGAAAGCTCTTTCCTCCCAGGTCTCAGATGTGGTCTCACATCTGAGACGAGTTTCACTGCGGAAACAGGTGGAATCCTTTATGGATACCAAGCTGAGCGTTGTCAGCAGGGTTCGCGATGCCATGGCAGCGGCCCAAGATAAACAAAAGGAGTATTCCGACAAACATGGAAGAGGAAACTTAAGTGTATTTAAAGTGGGGGACTTAGTGTTACTAGACACGAGGAACCTACCTCTTGACACTGCCAGCTCTGTCGGCAGCAACAAGCTGAAGCACCGCTTCATCGGACCATTTGCAGGCCTGGCCAGACATGGTGCGTCGTACACCATCGACCTGCCAAAGTCAATGACGACGCACCCGACGTTCTATGCTGGACGTCTTAAGCGGTACTTTGACCCGCAGGGGGTTGCTGACTCGCAGACCCCCCTTGACCTAGCTCCTCGAAGCGAGGGCCGGTCACAGACGTCGACGGGGGCGTCGGAGCAGGCACCCAAGCCTCGGTCGGAACGGCAACGCTGCGGTCAAGACCGTACGCCGGAGGGGCTCCGTACGAACGGACCCCGGAGCCATACGCCGAGTACGCCGTGTACGCACCACACGCGTACCTCTGGGAGTGCATTGAAGGCGGCTCCGGACGTGGCAACAGAGTTTCGACACGTCGGATCATGCGGAAGGCCTCGTCCAGATCGGACGAAGAGGCCCGTCGGTCCACCCGCAGATGCAGGCTCGCGACTTCACGGACCAACAGGTCCAGGCGGCCCGCAAGACGAGCGAGTTCGCCCTGATTCCCGGCCTGGGTGACACCATCCCCGCCAGTCCCAAGGCCAAGTGTAAGCTTAAGCACGAGGACGCGTTGACGAAGGCAGACAAGTAGGGTACCCATCTTCCGTTAGATAGGGCTTAAAAAGAATTTTTCGACTTGCTTCGGTGAGAACTTACTCTGCGAGCGCTGGAAAGGCTTTGTGATGCGTCGAACATGGTGTCGCGGTCTCCTTCTCTTGTCGGGGTCGTGTATCTTGTGAAAGCCGACGTAGGAACTTAGACGTATTAGATGTGTAAAATATACTTGTTTCTTATTTGTTTTTCTTGAGCACTTCTCGTAAAAGAAGGAAATTCACGACTGAGGGCTCTCTTACCAGCTCTCTAACTTGCCAAAGTACCTCCTACCAACACCAGTACCTCTAGTTGTCGTTTGTAAACGGAGTCAGCGTACCACTGTCTGGACTCCTTCGCTCCATTTTAGACTAGGGACGAGGTAGTCGGCGACGGGGAATGAGACTGATCGGGTCTGACGCTCTTCTTACGCCGTTCGCTAAATTGCCGTAGGCAGTCGTCCAGAATAGCGAGTCCTTCCTCTAGCCGAAGACCGTGACATTTCTCCCCGAGTGCAGCTCGGAGTCCTCGCCGAGCCTCATCCTTTCCAGCAGGTCCAATCGCCGAGTCGACCGGCAGATCTGGAACGATCGACCTCGTTCCAATCGAATTCGAATCCGAATTTTCCTGCGCCACCGAGGTCGTACCATTAGGACCGGCACGTAAATGGTCGAGGCTTGCTCTCTCTCCTTTCCCGCAGCTCCTTCCGACTTTCAAGCTTAGCCCAACCCTTTTGTGCGGCCTCAATTCCAAAGCCGTCGACAGTCTTCACCCGCGACGCCCAGTAGTACCTCGTAGCGTTCCAATATGTAAATGCAAAATACAGTTCAGTGTCCCGAGACTCACTCGTTCCCAAACACCAACAAGAGTGCAGCTCCACTCGTTCCAACCAGTCAGAGGACCAGTTAGAACAACACTTCCGCGTCGTCCACATCAGCGTTGGCTTTGAATAACCTGACGCTCCGACGTATCTCCGGGAGACCCTTCTTCTTACGGTCTGCTTCCTCAAAGACGCTTATCAAGGCTCCGAACTCGGGGAACAAAGCAGCTCGGGGAAAACAAAAGGTCTCGTACGTAGCCGTCAGCACTAGGTACTGCAGCTCGCCCTTTTCCACTCTTTTAGCGACGACGTCCACTATGGGCGACGACACACCGGTGAAAGCTGTCTCCTCACCCCCGATAGACACTCGTTCTACAAAACTCGACTGAGGCAGAACTTCTTCTTGTAGGGGTCCAGCCTCCAATAGCAATTCGTTCTCGGCTTCATCCTCGATGGACGCATCATTACTTATCTCGCTCCCAGCTGCCACATTCTCGCAGGTAGCACTCTCACTAGCCACATTCCCGGCTATCCCTCTAGGCACTTCGTCCGCAAATGGTCGACTCCAGCGACCACAGAAGCGTTTCAACCGATTCACGTTCACAGCGACGACCCGGTCGGGGTGTTTAGGGATTGATATCTTGTAAGCATTCTCCCCGACTTGGCCGACAATACGGTACGGACCGTGCCAAGAGAATGCCAACTTCTTCGTCTTCTTTTCGCCACCTTTTGCCCTGAAGAACTGATAGACACAGACGGGATCGCCTACTTCGTACGTCACCTTGACTTGCTTATTCAATCGCTGCTCGTGACGATCTTGGGTCTTCAATAGCTGTCGTTCCACCAGGCGCCGTGAGTCACGTAGCGACAGATACAACTTTCTTCGGTACGTGGCAA